ATATATATATATATTTTAATTTAATTATTTTTATGTTTATTTTATTTTGATGTAGAAGATGAGGATGAAGATGATTAAGAAAAAAAGTAGAGACAACTTCTTCCAAGAGAGCTTCTAATATTCTTAAAATAAAAATTTAAAATTAATTAATTGTATTTGAACTTGTTTTGTGGAGTATCAAAAAATTTAGTTTATAAGTAATTTGTAAGTTTATAATTTGGTTTTGATTTTGGTGTAAGTGGACTAATTTCTATTTGATTTTTTTCTAAGTTTGTAATTTGCTTTTATTGAACATATATTATGTATAATATGTATGCATTTTTAATTTTATATGGTTATATTTATTTATTTGTAGCAAATTTTTTTTTTTGAACAAAATATTTTTTTTCCATTTATTTTTTGTATGCGGGCTAGCCCGCCAACCCGCCAACCCGTCCTTAGGCGAGGCGGGCCAGCATCTCCAGCCCGTTTTACATTGGCAACATCTCTAGTTGCAAACAAGGAAATATAGTAAAGTGGTAGTTTTGCAACTTACATTACATTTTTATATAATCAAACTTTATAATAAATATATATTTTTGAATATATAAACTATATTATAATTGAAATTTGTAAAAGATAAACATTTTTAATATAAAAATTCTATTTTAAATTTATAATGAATAATCTAAAATATGATATAAATTTAATTTAAAATTAAAACAATAACTTATAGGACTAAGAAGTTGAGAAAAAATTCTAAAAATATGTTCACTAAAAGAAACTCTCTAAAATGTTTATGTTAGAAATTGCCTCCTATAAATTATTCTGTTTAATATAAATATTTTAATTTATATAAAAAAGGAAATATATTTATTAGATAGCAAGAATTTATATAAAAACTAAAGGAAAAGACAATAAGAGTGAAATAAGAGAAGAAGCAAAAGAAGTCTCTTGTGAAGAATAAGAGAATGAGGATGAGAATTGGAATTGAGTGTGAAGAAAGGTATAAAAAAATTAGTATTTTTAACTTCCAAGAAATGGACTAGAACAAGTTACTTTTTTTTTTAACAAATAAGTAATAATAACTTGCATAATTATCATGAAAGTATTTTTTTTTGTAGTGTGAAGGTTTAGATTAGGGCAAGACTAGATGCTAATCACTAACTTCTTTCAAAATTTTCAGTAGGATTATGAATTACTTACCACATTTCCAACATGAGTTCATATGGAAGAATATAAAATACAAGAAAATTGGGTTTAATCCCAGGTCCTATCTAGTTAGAACGAAGGAACTCAATCAATTGTATCACTTTGCAAGACTTCATGAAAAAGCTTAAATATATCTTTCAATTAAAAAAAACACTTTTCTTTAAACCAAAAATTTTAAATAAATAAAATGTATACCACATTTGGTATTGGTACTACAGAAAAAGAAAAAAAATTACTTTTCAAGTTATGGAGGGGTTATTTGTAACAACTATGTTGAGTGGGTAGATAATTAGTCTAGTTTCATTAGTTTAGTGACAAATTTGCATGATGAAATAATGGCTATCTTGAAAGACTTAATTCTTGGTTAGAAATATCCTAACCAGAAGTTAATTTGTATTTATATTTCTCTAGTCTCAATTAGTGATTAATCTAGTTTTACATGGAAGCTTCTATTTCTCAAATAACAACAAAACTCTTCAAATAATTATTGAATAAAAACAAATAAGATCATAAACAAGACAAGTGAAAATGGTGATAAGTGTAACATACTATTTCTTAAATAACTTTAGACTTGCATTGGTTGCAATAAGTCTCATGACATACAAGAAAGAAAAAGGTGATGTTAACCAAACAAAAAAAAATATTTACTTGGATTCTACTGATCAAAGAAATTACTTTTCTAGAATAAAGAGTTTTAGAGATGATTTTTTTAGTTGTGGAATTGAGAGCCTAACAAGTGGTGTTGGTGGATGTTATGACTTGGTTGCTAATGTTAGGAATAAATTAGGAAATGAGCTTAGAAGTTCAAATGAAAACTATTAACTTCATACTTTTGGGAATGATTGGGAACAACCATGTTCTTTGTACCCAAGGACCTAGAAAATAATAGGTGGGGCAGATTCCAGAAAGACCAATGTCAAAGTTGAAAAAATTGAAGATGATCTATCATCTATGTAGATTTGTTGAGCTTGTGACATTGATAAGCAAGAAATTAAAAAATGTGATGTTTGTCAAAACAATTTTAGTGTGCCTTATAGCACGACATATTTATTTAGGTGAGCATAAACATGAATTTGGATTTGTTATATTACATGAAGTGCTAGTTAATCTATTTTGTCTATGATCACTCTTCTTTTCTCTAGCAAAAAATCAAACCACAAAAGGGAATAACCAAAAGATGAAAAGTTATAAAGGTTACTTAAATGTTATAATATTTATTGTGCTTTTAAATATGTAGATTGTGGTGTGCTCCTCTGTTTTGATCATCAAAGCTTTTATGTGGAATTAGGTATGTGGATTCAAACAAGAGCAATTATAAGAGTTATATTAAAAATACATATTATTGCATTCTTCATGTTTTTGTAGATACTTTAGATTAGTCCCACAAAAAAAAAAAGACACACCTTCAATTATTTCAAACTCATATTAGAAAGCACCATAGATTCATTTTATGTTCTTGCCATGTACTCTTTTTTCTTCTTCATAGAAACATAATCAGTGGTAGGGAAATGTGGGCATTTTTTGTCAAAGAAGTTCCAAGTTTATCTCATGTCAAACACTCTAAGATAAAGTTTATAAATTGAAAAAAGTTTTGTATAAGTTGAAGAAAACTTTGTATGAATTGTATAGTATGGTTTTGAGGGATGTCCTTTTGGACGCACTTTATATATTAAATTTGTTGATCCAACAAATGTTCTTATTGTGTGCCTATATGTTGATGATCTAATTTTTACTAGTAACAATCCAAAGATGATTAAAAAATTCAGGAAGGTTATGATAAGATGTTTTAAGATGACAAATTTAGGCTTGATGTCCTATTTCCTTTGCATTGAGGTTAGTTAGCAAGAGGATGAAAATTTTATCACCCAAAAGAAATATGCATGCCATATTTTGAAGAAATTAAAGATGGAGAATTCAAAACCAATTTCCACACCAATTGAAAAAATGTTAAAATTGACAAGAGAAAGTGAAAACATAAAAGTAGATGTAACACAATCGAAAGTTTGATCAGAAGTCTAAGATATTTGACTATGACTAGATCATATATAGTATTTGGTGTTGAGTTGCTTATTAGATTCATGGAAAAGTCACATGCTTGTCATTTACAAGGAGGAGCAAAGAGAATTCTTCATTACATCAAAGATACTTTGGCTTGTGAAATTTTTTACGAGAATAATAATGATGTGAAGTTTGTTGGATACACAAATAGTTGCTGGACAAGAGATGTGAAAATAAGAAAAAAAATGTGTCAAGATATGCATTTCATTTAGGCATTGGTGCAGTATCATGGTCTTTAAAGAAACAACTAGTTGTTGCACTTTCTATCGCTGAAGGCGAATACATTGTAACGACCAGTTTTGCTACACAAGCAATATGACTAGGAAGAATTTTAGAAGTGTTGCACCAAAAGTATAATACTCTTATTGAAGTATTTTGTGACAACAAGTTTGCAATTGCATTAAACAAAAATCCAATTTCTCATGGGCGGTCCAAACACATTGATATTTGATTTCAAAAGATATAGGAATTGATAACTAAAAAAGAAGTGGAGCTTCATTATTATACAACTGAAGAACAAGTTGCAGATATTTTTACGAAGCCGTTGAAGACTGAGTTATTTTACAAGTTGAGGAAAATACTTAGAATAATAGAAGCTTGATTTAAGGAAGGCAACATCAAAAGAAAAAAAAAATTAAATCAAACTAAAATAGTTGATTGTTTTTTGTTGTTGCATTTATTGAAACATCATCAAGCCAACAATCTTTGCGGAAGGCTACTCCAGAGTTTCTTAAGTATTAAGATAAGTTGTTTCTTAAGTATTAAGTCTTCCAAAACTTCTCAAATATTAAGATAAATTATTTTTTTAAGTATTAGGATATACTTTTATAGCAATATTATATTATATAATTTTGCTTATAAAAGAATTTGTAGGTACAATGGTTTGAAATAAATTTTGAGTAAAAACCAAATAGTGAATTTTATTTTGATTTCTTCCTCCTTCTCTTTTAATTTTATTTCAATATGTAAGTGAGTGAAGTTTATATCGTTATCTCACTAATAACCTTAAACTCTAAATCTTAAACCTTTATCATTCAATAATTTGCACCAAACTTTTGTTTTTTCCCTATGGAATAGAAAGTGATTTATTTATTTATTGTCATATGGTGACCAACAAATTGTAGCTAGTAACATAATGAAATAGATTAGTTGGTAGTGCATAACATGTTAGGATGTTTGAAGTCATGGGTTTGAGTTAAAGTTTGACATTATGGTACGTGTCAATAATTGTTAGCCACAAGGTAGTATCATTTTAAAGGAAAAGGAAATTATTGGAAAAG